AAAAACCAGAGTGCAGTGGGTGCAGGGGCTCACACCTGTAATCCCAGCACTTCGGGAGGCCGAGGCAGGCCAACATTTATTGCGAGCTTCCTGAGACAGCGTGCTTGTGTGTATGTGAGGCCAGAAGTTCGAGACCAGCCTGGCCAACATGGCGAAACCCTGTCTCTACTAAAGATACAAAAATTAGCCAGATATGGTGGCGGGCACCTGTAAGCCCAGCTACTTGGGAGGCTAAGGCAGGAGAATTGCTTGAACCCAGGAAGCAGAGGTTGCTGTGAGCTGAGATTGTGCCACTGCACTCCAACCTGAGCAACAGAGTAAGACTCCATCTCAAAAAACAACAACAACAATAATAATAATAATTAAAAGATTTATGAAAAAAATCAAAGGATGTTTATGTATCACTCTCTATATGGGATGCACTCCCAGTATGGAACATACGTTTGGAGTATTGTGACAAATGTCACCTCTTTTCTCTGCTTTTGTGTGGATGTATGGATTGTGTGGATGTGTGACTATTTGGAGATAACCTCAAATGTCTCAATTTGAGACTCTTCATGAACATGAGGTCAAGAATAAATAGTCCTAAAGGCATCTACTGTAAGCCAAACCTCACTGAATGTTGGAAACAAGAATCTCTTCCTCTGTGGCTGGCTCCCACATCAACTGGGGACACTCATGGGTACCCAGAGGCAGAGACAATGCAAACTGCTCAGCATGTGACAGGGAAACCTAGGAAGCTAGGGAAGCCCAGAGAGGAGGAACTGCAAACCAGAAGAAGCAGCAACTCCCAGCCCAGAGAGCTGTTCCCCCGACAACCCGCCAGGCCTCGGGAGCTGATTCTGCTAGACCTGTTCTCTTGCTGCCCAGGATGGACTGCAAGCTCAGGGCGTCCTGTGGCTTGAAGGACTCAGGGAAGAGACCTCTGGGGAAGCCAGCCCTGACAATTTTGCAGCCCAGTGACTCAGCAGCCATCTTGCCAAGACACAGGCTTCCTCCCTGAGAACTGAGACCCCCGTGCACCCCAGCACACCCCACGTCAACAGAGTCAGAACATATTAGAGCGGAGTTTTGCTCCCCAGTGCCTCTTGTCTCAGCAAAGCCAACTAATTCAGATTTAACCTTCCTCTTAATAGGCCGTGTTGCTGAGCCCTCTAATTAATGCCACATGTTTCCCTCAGCTGTCATCCTGAATAAATGTTTACAAAGCTATTAACGTACTGTATTTGTAAACCGGGACCACTCAGCTTTGGGGAGTCATGTGGTATGCATTTTCTCCTCAAAGATGGAAAAGACTTAGTAATAATAAATACATTGTTTTGCAGGGATGGGAGCAAGGCGTTGCCTGAAGAAAAAAAAAAATTATTGTGAGCTTCCTGAGACAGCGTGGCTGTGTGTACGTGAGGAATCAGAGCTCTTCCCGAGTTCAGAGGAGCTGCCAGGGGCTGGATTTGGCCCAGGTGGGGCTGAGAGCAGGAGAACTCCAGGGGCAGAAAAAAACAATATGCTAGTTTGAGATCTGAAGACCCAGGCTCTGATTTCAGCCTCCTTGTTCTCCAGCTCTGTAGCACTGAGCAAGCCAGTTTTCTTCTTAGGAACTCAGTTTTTCCATCTGTAAAATGGGAAGTTGAGATTTACAAGCGTTTTCTGTGTTTGATCCAGAATTCGAGTCTGATTCCTTCTCTGCTTCAACTTCTACACAAGCCCTAGAGTGGGTCTTGTGTAAATTCTTCAAAGGTACCCGTGCCCCTAAAGAGGAAGTCCTGATGTCTGGACACGAAATCCCAGACCCGACGTAATCTGCTCCACTGGCCTGTCCAGACCGAGGTCTGATTATTCCTGCCTTCTATTCTACCCAAGTTCCATTGATTGTCAGTTTCCTAAAAGGAGCCCACCTCACTCTCACGTCTAAACCTTTGCCTATGCTGGGTTTCCTACCAGAAGCACCTCTTCCCTTCTGTCTGGCCTATTTCTACTCACTATTCATGTCTCAACTTCTAGATCACTTTTCTAGGAAGCCTTCCTTGACTCTCAGTTCTGGATGAGATTCCTGCACCCACAAATGCATCCACAGCACCGCGAACATCTCCTCTCTTAGGACCATTTTATAGTGGCTTATTTATATATCCACCCACTAGAGTGTGAGCTCAAAAGGAGCAGGGACGATGGCTATTCGACTAAATGCTGTGTCCCAGATGCCTCACAAATGGGAAATACTTTCAATTAATGTTGCTGGGAACACATGAAGTGACAGGTGACAGGTGACAAAGAACAATGTGGGGGCCTTTCTAAACACTTTGTAGCTCTAGGAATTTTGGCCCATTAACACGCCATCCTGCAGTACCCTTCCTGTTTCTCTCAGTAGTACCAATAAGGGGCTCAGAGGCTGGGTGTGGTGGCTCACGCCTGTAATCCCAGCATTTTGGGAGGGCGAGGCAGGCAGATCACCTGAGGTCAGGAGTTCAAGACCAACCTGGCCAACATGGTGAAACCCCATCTCTACTAAAAATACAAAAATTAGCCAGGCGTGGTGGTGGATGCCTATAATCCCCACTACTTAGGAGGCTGAGGCAGGAGGATCATTTGAACCCAGGAGGCAGAAGTTGCAGTGAGCTGAGATCATGCCATTGCACTCCAACCTAGGCAACAGAGGGAGACTCCCTCTCAAAACACAAAAAAACAAAAAGAAAATAAGGGGCTTAGAGAGGTTAAGTGACTTGCCTATTATTATACAATTAGTCTGGGACAAAAACTGGGATTTGAACCTAGGACTGTTAGTCTCTCAAGGCACAGACTCTTTATTTTTATTATTATTATTATTATTATACTTTAAGTTCTAGGGTACATGTGTACAACATGCAGGTTTGTTACATATGTATACATGTGCCATGTTGGTGTGCTGCACCCATCAACTCATCATTTACATTAGGTATATCTCCTAATGCTATCCCTCCCCCTACGTCACCACAGGTCCCAGTGTGTGATGTTCCCCACCCTGTGTCCAAGTGTTCTCATTGTTCAATTCCCACCTATGAGTGAGAACATGCGGTGTTTGGTTTTCTGTCCTTGGGATAGTTTGCTCAGAATGATGGCTTCCAGCTTCTTCCGTGTCCCTACAAAGGACATGAACTCATCCTTTTTTATGGCTTCATAGTATTCCATGGTGTATCTGTGCCACATTTTCTTAATCCAGTCTATCATTGATGGACATTTGGGTTGGTTCCAAGTCTTTACTATTGTGAATAGTGCCACAATAAACATACGTGTGCATGTGTCTTTATAGCAGCATGATTTATAATCCTTTGGGTATACACCCAGTAATGAGATGGCTGGGTCAAATGTATTTCTAGTTCTAGATCCTTGAGGAATCACCACACTGTCTTCCACAATGGTTGAACTAGTTTACAGCCCCATCAACAGAAAGCACAGACTCTTAACCATGGTAATATCCAACTGCCTAACAGTGCCACCAGCAGCAGGGCCACCACCACCCTCTCCTCTCCCACCGAAGTCTATGCCCTGATACCTCACACTTGCTGATGTAAATGGCTTTAGCACTGTACTCCAGCTTTTCTCATGCATTTGTCATCATGGTTACCTAGAATGTGCTAGTCAGGATTCTCTGGTTGTAAGTGACAGAAAGATAATTCTAACTAAAACTAATCAAACATAGAGATGGGGAGGAATAGCAACTCTTCTGTCAAGTCACAGAAGAGGCAGAGGTCAAACTGGCCTTAGGGATGCCTATAACCATGTCTCAGACCCAGCCAGTCCCTGTCTCTTGTTTCTGTCATCCCCACTTCTCCTTTTGGGTTCCTTTAATTCCCTCAGGCCAGAAGCCATCAGGAAGCCAGAATGGAGGCTACACCTGCACAAACAACAGCAAAGACAACACTCTTCTCCACCAAGGCCCTTAGAAAAATCCTAGGGAAGCAATTTGATTGGTCAAGACTGAGTTATGTGCTCAGGCCTGGACCAATCACTGTGGTCAGAGGTGGAATGCTGTGATTGGCCATTCCTGTTGAAATGCCACAGTTACAAAAGAAGCAGTTTCCAAGAGGAAGTGGATAAAGATGTTTCTAAAAGAAACAGTCCTGTCTATGGCAGAGGATAGATGATGTCCTTTATTTTTAAAGTCCCAGTTCCTTCCTACAGGGCTATATTATGGGAATCTTCATGAAGTTGAAGTTTTACTTATTTCCTTGTTTCAGCTCAATGCTTGGAGAGAAAGACAAAACAAGACAAAGCCAAAAGCCGGCACTGGGGAAACAAAACACCAGTTGTTCCTGATGCAGCCTCTCATCCTCCTGGAGTTCACCTTTTCATGGAGAGGATAGGCAAGTTAACATACAAGCAAAGTCCGGTGGGTAACTGCTCCCACAGAGGAAAGCAAAGAGGGATTCATTGCCAACTGAGCTTTGCAGAGTGTTTTTTGAATGGAGAGGAGACACCTGTAATCCCAGCACTTTGGGAGGCCAAGGCAGAAGGATCACTTGAGGCTGGAAGTTCAGGACCATCCTAGGCAACATAGTGACACCTCGTCTCTACAAAAAATGAGGTGGAAAGGTTGCTTGAGCCCAGGAGGTCAAGACTGCCGTGAGCCATGATGGCACCACTGCACTCCAGCGTGATGACAGAGCAAGACCCTGACTCAAAAAATAAAAATATAAAGGTTATGAATGAAGAGGAGAAAGAAAAGCCAGGGTTATAAAATGGAGAAATGAAACACAGAACTGTTACATCTATTGATGCCCAAGACTGCACCTGGCACCTATTAGATGCTCAATAATATTTTGTTGAAGGAATAAGTTACTGAATGAGAGTAACTTGTCACAGTTAAGGAAAGGAAAGTGTCCCTGCTTGATTACAGGGCTTGAGAGTTGGGGCAGCAAGAATTTGAATCTCAATTGCAGCATCTCCAAGTTGTGCAAATTGGGCAAGTCACTTCAGCCATCAGAACCTCAGTTTCAGCCTCTATAAATGGAAAATAACATACCTACCTCCTACTGTTCAGGATCGGATTCAACAAGCTCTCCAAAGTGCTTGGGCTGGTGCTGAGACACCACGGCGTTCCGGTCTGTGGCAGAGGATAGATGACGTTCTTTATTTTAAAAGTCCCACTTCCTTCCTCTGGGGCTACATAGCTTGAATCCTCATTAAATCGACATTTTACTTATTTGTTTCAGCTCAAATGCTTGGAGAGCAAGACAAAACAAGACACAGCAAAAAAAAAAAAAAAATCAAGACAAAGTTTTTGTAAGAGCTAATGTCCCTTACAACAAAACACAGCTTTCCTGCAGAACCTCTCCATGGTGAATTGAAAACGGCTTTCACTGGTTTCCTTCCAAGCAGCAGAAACAATTGTTGCCGACCTCACAGCTTTTCTGCGGGAGAGCAACCCCTGCAAAGGGTATTTCAGCTTGCCTGTCTCTATTTAAAAATGCGTGTGAAATACCAACCCAGTCGAAATAACAACGCTTCTAAAATCGCTGCTGATGTCCTAGAATACAAAACCCAAGGAACACAGTCCCCTGGCTCTGCTCTAAGCACGACATATGCTCTGTATTTTGACCCTGTAAAGCCAGAAGCCCGGAGTTTTTCACAGATATTGGCAGCCACCTGAAGGTAACAAGACAGCCAGGCCAGAAAGGATGTTGAAACTATTTTGAGGGTTCTATAAATCTACATTAACATTTTTCTTTTCTTGGATCCGTCCTTTCTCTCTCGCCTCTCCTAGCCCCTTCTCTTCTTCCAATTCTCTTGCTCCTTCCCTCTTCCATGACAATGGAAGGAAAGTATTTATCCCAGCCCATAGTATTAACTACAGAGAACTCATCACCAAACAGGCACATAGATAAGGGCAGTGCCCTCACTTCCACTTTAGAAGAGAGTATCCCTCTCTTCTATTCCTCCTGGTGCCTCCATAAAAACTGCCTCTTAGGTATAACTCTTGGCTCTCCTGGGTTCAGAATTCCTGTACCAGAAGTTTAGCAAGACCATATTTGCTTTCAGCTGCATGAAGAGTCCACAGCTCACATACAGCCTTGCTTTTCTTTCTCTCTTTTTTTTTTTCCCCCCCAGATGAAGTCTCACGCTATCACCCAGGCTCCGGTGCAGTGGCACAATCTCAGCTCACTGTAACCCCTACCTTCCAGATTCAAGCAATTCTCCTGACTCAGCCTCCTAAGTAAACTCATATTACAAGCGCCCGCCACCACCAGCTAATTTTTGTATTTTTAGTAGAGATGGAGTTTCACCATGTTGCCTGGACTGGTCTCAAACTTCTGACCTCAGGTGATCCACCCACCCCATCCTCCTAAGGTGCTGCAATTACATTCGTGAGGCATCCCGCCTGGTCAGCATCCAGTCTTTCGATTCCTGGCCACCTCTTGAGTGTCTAGATGGCAGGGCCCCCACTTTCTCTGGTCCAGGAACCTGGGCTGAGCAGGCTGATCGGTTTTATTTAAAACAGTGCTTCCCAAAGCCAGTCAGTGATGGCTTCGTGGGCGTGGGACCTGCACAGTTGCACGGGGCCCTGCCTACAGAAGAGCCCACCACATAGCTAAATGCTCTGCTGTTGCTGTCTAAAAATTCTTAATAATTTTCGACCAAAAAGTCTCACATTTTCATTTTGCACTGGGCCTGCAAATGATGTTGCTGGAGATGCATAACCATGCACTGTACAGGAGATAATTTTAGCTGCTCCACAGACCAACCTTTTCTTAATTCAACTGGCTACATGTGTACATTGCTGTATGTGTTAGAATCGGCATGGACTCAGTGATCACACTCTCCTTTTGCAGCTCTTATGACTGAGGAAGAGGAAGAATCTACTTATGGGAAAAAGTGAGTCCACTTAAAAAAAAAAAAAAGGAGATATATTAAATACAGATCCTACCAAATTGTGGCAAAAGAAAAAGTGAGGGAAGTAAATAAATTTGAGAATTGCTGAACTTAAAGGACCTCCACCAAATCACTAACTACAAAATATCACTAGCCCCACAACACTATTACTCACCTGCTAGCTAGAGTGCCTGGAGTTCTTGTATTGCTTATCAGAATGTACTCTAATTCAATATGTGCCTTTGGACAAGTCTCTCTGCCCATCCCCCACCCACCCCACATCTCAGTGTGCCCATCTGTAAAATGGGCCAGTTCTTTCATCTTAAAAATCTTGGATTCCCTTGAGTTAAACCAATGGTTTGTAAATGCTGGTCCCCATACTGACTGCATCTGAGCCACTGGAGGAGGTCATTAGAAATGCTCATCCCCAGGCCTCAGTCTGGGGGATTCAGTAGGTTTGAGGTTAAATTTTGGAATATTTTAAACCGACCTTCTCAGCACTTTCGATCGGTAGTCAGTTTTGAGAGCTTCTAAGTGAAAATATTAAAAATCACCCATTCATCATTCAACAAGCACTTGCTGAACAATCCCTGTAGGTCTTCCACAGTGCAGAGTAATGGAGAATTAGACCATCTCTACCTACCGATGCCCTGCACTGTCTGGTTGCAGGAAGAACTTGAACAACAAGGTAATCATATCTATTTCCTGTGTACCAGCTACAAAGAGTTGCATGTATATTAACTGTGGCACACTGGATCTTTCCAAAAACAGTCACAGCAATATTACCAGTTCCATAACGTTGCCAGTTCATCAAGCAATGGAGTCTACTTCCACTCTCTTTGAAACTGAGTAGAATTTTGTGACTTCCTTGATGAGCAGAAAGAGTAAAAGTGACTCTCTGTGACCTCCAGGAGAAGTCATAAAAGGCCATATTGCTTCCACCTGGCTTTCTTCTCACTTCTCTCGGGATGCTTACCAATGGAACCTAGCCATCGTCTTGTAAGGAAGCCAAGTAGCTATATGGAGATGCCATGTGTAGGTGTCCCAGCCATCTGATTCAACTGAGGCTTCATGAGTCTCCAAACATAAGAGCAAGCAAGCTCCAACTCCATGCCTGTAGCACTATAGGTGCCCCTCAGAGCTCACCAGCCCCTACCTTGTTTTCCCTCTCATCTCCTCGCTTCCATGCAGCCTTTCTCTACCCTGTGACACACGGGAACCCAAGCATTATTCAGAGCCCTTTGCACTTCTTCGACCAACAGCCTCGTAATACTATTACTGCTGATGGCTTTTCATTCCCAATGCCAAACCTGATTTGGAGTTCACAAGGCTGAGGGTTTCAATCCAGGCTCTGTGGACAGGCTCCGGGAGCCCTAAGTGACTGTAGCTTACAGACAATTCAATTGTTATTGACATTTGTGTCTGATTGTTCATCAAGGAGGAGCTGTCTTGTAGGCCAAATCATTCTATTACCCGGCCCCCCTTTCACCCTCCCCACTAACGACAAAACACATACGCACCATCAGTGGCAGGCTAATCAATCGTAATATCACTCTACATCTATCAGGGTCGCTTTTGTGTGCCTGAGTTTGGGGGCAGCTGGGGGAGGTAAAAAGGGAAATGGGAAGAAAAAGGAATGGATCTAAATGTGTGTGCTTTGAGGGTCTGAAATGGAAGCATCTACTGAAAACAGAAAAGAATCAATTGCATTGCCAAAAATATCTATAAATATCTATGTCTGTATCCATATTTATATCTATATACTCGACTACTCGGGAGGGTAATTCTTAAGAGGCATGTCATTTTTCAGTTCATTCTGCTTCATTGTGTCCCAGGATAATGTCCAGTTTTATCTTAAATGAGACTTGTGTTGGGTTAAGCAAACTTGATCATAATAGATCCAGTAAGTTGATGAGTTACCCTGCCCCCACAACATAAAGCATCTCTCATTCGTATCATAAATCTTTTCCCCGTTTTATCTCATTCTATTTTTCCAGAGTCCCCCATTAGCCAGACAACCCATTTTAGGGTTATCTTGAGAAAGCTGAAGCCATCAGCCTGCTGCAACTGTTGGCCGTATCTGACTTCCAGTGCTCTTACAATTCTCATTCATTCCAAGAACAAGTGAAGACCTCAAACCATCAGTCAGATGAAAGCCATTTTGCAAGGAGTGGTGAAAGGCTTGCACTGAACCATCCACACTTTCTCGGACTCTAAACAATAACACACCTTTTTGGAATGGCTGCCACATGGATTGGTCCCTAAGTGGATACAACAATGACCTTGGTCTTCTCAGCAACAGGACTGAGCTAACTCACAAACCCAAGGCTCTTCTTTGCTCAAAAAGAAAAAAGTGGGCACATTAAAGCAACAATGAGTTCTACATACTACTAGAATGGCTAAAATTAAAGACTGACAATCCCAAGTGTGGGCAGGGATGTGGAATGATTGAAGCCTTCATACCTTATTGATGGGTGTTAAAGGCTGAATTGTGTCCACATTACATTAGTATATTGCAGTCCTAAACCTCAATACCTAAGAAGGTGACTGTATTTGGAGATAGGGTCTTTAAAGAGGTGATCGTGTTGAAATGAGGTCATTAGGATGGATGGACCCTAATCCAATATGCCTAGTGTCCTCAAAAAATAGGATATCTGGATGCAGACATGCACAGAGATGAGGTGATAGGAAGACACTGGAAGAGGCAGCCAGCCACAAACCACAGACAGAGGTCTCAGGAGAAACCAACCCTGCCAATACCTTGATCTCAGACTTCCAGCCTCCAGAACGGTGAGAAAATTAATTTCGGTTGTTTAAGCCACCCAATCTGGGTATTTTATTACGGCAGCCCTAGCAAACCAATACAGCTGGAGTGCAAAATGGTGCAGCCACTTTAGAAAACAGTTGCCAGTTTTTATAAAGTTAACTATGTACTAACAAATGTAACACAGCAATCTCATTCCTTCTCTTCCATCTCCAGAAGAGATGAAAACATATGCTTATACAAAGACCTAAAAATAAATATTTATAGCATAATTATTTATAATAATCCAAACTATTGAAACAACCCAAATGTCTTCAAACTTAGGAGTGAATAAACAAATTGTGGTATCTGCATATAATGGAATACTACACAGTAATGGAAAGAAACAAACCATTGGCACATAGAAAAACATGGAGGAATCTCAAAGCATTCATTGTATTAAGTGAAAGAAGCCAGACACCAAAGACTATATATAATTTCCATTTATATTACATCCTGGGAAAGCTAAATCTACAAGAACAGGAAATATATCAGTGCAGCCCAGGGGCTGAAGGTGAGAGGAGGGAATTTATTACAGAGAAGCACAAAAGAACATGTTTGGGTAATGGAATTGTTCTATTTCTTGATTGCAGTGATGGATACATGTCAAATTCATCAACCTATATCCTTAAAAGAGTACATTTTATTGTATATATTTCAGTAAACTTGACTTTTAAAAATAATATTATAATAATGAGCTATCCTTTTTTGTCCAAGGGGTAAATTTTAAAAAAAAATAACAACATTCAGGGCTGGACACAGTGGTTTACACCTGTAATCCCAGCACTTTGGGAGGCCCAGGGTAGGAGTTGGAGACCAGCCTGGGCATTATGGTGAAACCCTGTATCTACCAAAAATATATACAAAAATTAGCCAGGCATGGTGGTGCATGCCTGTAATCCCAGCTACTCTAGAAGCTGAGGCATGAGAACCACTTGAACCCAGGAAGCTGAGGTTGCAGTGAGCTGAGATCACACCACTCCAGCCTGAGCGACAGAGTAAGACTGTTTCTTAAAAAAAAAAAAAAAATTCAGTATTGATGAAGATCCAGGCAAACAGGTACTTGTATGCCCCTGAGAAGCACCATTGAATATTTCTTTTTGTTGTTTGCTTGCTTGTTTGTTTGTTTTATAATTTCAACTCATTTCAGAATCGGGGGTACATCTGCAAGTTTGTTTCGTGGGTATATTGCTTGATGCTGAAGTTTGGAGTGTGGCTGGTCTCATCACCCAGGTATTGAGCATAGTAGCCAATTATTAGATGTTTCCATTAGAAACACCTTTCTGGAAAGCAAATTGGTCGTTCTCCATCAAAATGTAAAACGTATTATCTTTTGACTCAGTGTATCTTCCTCTAGGAATCCATCCTGCAAAACGACTTGCATACTTATAATAGGTACATAGTAGTATTGTTTTTCATGACAAAAATAAGACAGCAACCGTGGAAAGTTATCACAGAAACAAGAGCTCAAAGATATGCACTCAACTAATGACCTGAAAGAAGAGGAAGCAGAGGCGAGGACGGAGGGGAGATCTCTGTACATGTTATTCAATATGTTTCTTTATTGTTTAAATCTTTTATAGAGAGAATTAATTCACATGTTGTATAATATTTATTTTTTAACCCTGGGCCCAGAACTCCATTTTAATAAATAATAAAATGCTTCTTACTCCACTGTCCTCTTAAATCATCCCCTTCTCTGTTCTCTCTTTATCGATATATGTACTTGTCATCCCAAACTAATTAATTCATTAAGACAGGCCATCCATTTATATTAGCAGATTTTAGGCAAAGAAATTCTTTTAAAAAATATATGCTAGTGTTTACTGGTGCATGATTATCAAAATGATGACAATGACAATACTGAAAGTCGTAAGAGTAGAAGAATTTGGCTGACTTCACTTAGGCAGACCTGATGATCGAAAGTGTCATATGCTTGTGAAGATTCGCTTAGTGTTAGCTCAGGGGCAGGAGCAAAATAAGGATGAGAGGAGGTTGGAGAAACTGTGGACAATTTATGTCACTGAAGGGGGATTAGAAAACGCTTAGGGGAAGAACAGATGGATTGATGTTAGATCCAGGTTTCCTTGACCTTAGAGGGTAAATATAAATCAAATTAACTTCAATTACAGAGAAAAACACCGAGTTCCTTTGGAACGACGCTATAATCAGGGACTTTGACTTTGCAAATACCTGCTGTGCTTGCAACACTCGTCCACCGGGGCCACCGTAGGAGCATGTGCAACTTAGGCTGAACAAGAGCCTGGGTTTCCTCCAGTTCCCCACACCTGGAGTTGAGTAATAAGATATTCCCTTTGTTGTTGAACTCATCAACCTTGGTGAAGCCAAAGGTTTACTTGAGCTACTTGAATCATTGGAAAGTAGGATGGAAAACAGGTATATCCTTGAGTTATAGTCTTTTCCTGTGGCCATTTCTCCTCTCCAATGAGAGAATTATATCTCATCTTGGAGATTACTTGAATTTTACCAGGTAAGTGTTCTAGAAGTGATGATCTCATTGAATTATTTCTTAGTGGGTTTTAAGTTGAAAGTGGGAAATCAAATAATGGGGAAAATACCTATTCACTATGAGAGTTCCTTACCAGCAGGTGTCTCGGTGTCTTTGCCAAACCTTGCGATTTTTTGGCCACCCAATCTAGGGTGGGGGTGAGGAGAGATTCCATTAAATTCGGGGTCAGCAAATTATTCCTGTAAAGGACCAGATAATAAAAAGTTTAGGCTTTGTAAACCTTATGGTCTCTATCATAACTACTCAACTCTGCTGTTGTAGAGTAAAAACAGTAATAGATGACATGTAAATGAGTGGCGTGTAAATGACTGTGTTCCAATAAAACTTTATGGGCACCAAAATTCAAACTTCATATAATTTTCATATGTCGCAAAATATTATTTTCCCTTTGATTATTTTTTCCAAGTATTTAAAAAGGTAAAAACCCCATAGAGATACATGCACATGTTATGTTCACTGCAACACTATTCACAATGGCAAAAACGTGGAATCAATCTAAATGCCCATCAATGATAGGATAAAGAAAATGTGGTACACATACACATGAATACTATGCAGCCGTTAAAAAGAATGAGATCATGTTCTTTGCAGGAACATGGGTGGAGCTGGAGGCCATTATCCTTAGCAGACTGACACAGGAACAGAAAACCAAACTAAGTGGGAGCCAAATAAGAAGAACACAAAGAGGGGAACAGCAGACACTGGGGACTGCCTGCGGGTGGAGGGTGGGAGGAGAGAGAGGATCAGAAAAATAACTACCAGATATTGTGCTTAGTATCTGGGTGATGAAATAACCTGTACAACAAACCCCAGTGACATGAATTTACCTGTATAACAAACCTGCAAATGTACCCCTGAACCTTAAATACTTTGTTTGTTTGTTTGTTTAAAGAGAAAAACCATTCTTAGTTCTTGAGCCCTACAAAAAGGTAGTGGACTGAATTCGGCATGCAGTGCCTGGTTTGTCAACACCTGAATTAAATCATCTTCTCATTTACACTTTTTGGTTGCAAATATAATTGTTTTGAAATGTCCCTCTTACTAAAGCAATGTCTTGACAGATAGATTACTAAATAGGCAGATAATTGATGATAGATAGATAGATAGATAGATAGATAGATAGATAGATTTTTTCTAAAGAAATAGTTGATCATTTGGGATATTAGAATTAAGCCCCTTGCAAGTTATGCTTATCGCAATGCCTAGCATGTAGTATAGGTCAGTACATTTCTCTCAAATAAATGGAGAAAAGATTAAAGGAAAAAGAGTTTAGAGTTTTGTTTTCCTTCCTGGAAATGGTTGATTAATTGATTTATTCATAAAAAAATTATTGTACGTTTACTGTGCTTGCCAGATAAGGTTATAGCAGAAAAAAAAGGCAAGTCCCTACTTTCATGGAACCCAAGTTCCAGGAAGGAAGAGAGACATTAAATAGAATCTATCATGAAGGTGTTTAAAGGACAAGCTGCTGATGGAGCATATAAACTGGGTGATCTAACCCCAGTGACTGGCAAACTCTTTCTTTATAGGGCTAGAGAGTATTTTTAAGTTTTGTGGTCCATATATTCTCTGTCTCAACTGCTCAACTCTGCCATTAGGGAACATGTAAATGAGTGGGCATAGTTGTGTTTCAATAAAACTTTATTGACAAAAACAGTCAATTGGTCAAATTGGGTTGACAGGAAATAGTTTGTCAACACTCAATTCAAGCCAGTTTGAGAGGTCAGTTAAAATCTTACTGAAGAGGCGTCTTTTAGGACAAGACCTGAAAGATGATCAGAAGTTCATTATGAAGGAAGGAGCAGGGCAGACACAGAGGGTTCCAGGCAAAAGGAACAGCATTTCAAAGATCTAGCTGTGTCTTTAAGGATTTTAAAGAAATCTAAGTATTTTGGAGTAAAACAAGCAAGAAGCGAAGTTATAAAAGATGAGTTGGAGAAGAAGCTGAAGCCAGGGCTTTCTTAATGGTCTGTACTGTATCCTAAGGGCATAGAAAGTGTCTGTTTTTAATAAGGAAGTGACATGATTGGACCTGCATTTTTTTCAGTTCATTGTGGCTCTTAGAGTGAAGGGGTTAGAGGAGCCAAAAGTAAAGGTGAGACATTCATCATAATGGTGAAAATGAAAAATAAAATCTGATAACATCAGATGTTGGTGAACTGTTCTAATTCACAATTCTTCTGACACCCAATGTGTGTGAATTTTCCTCACACCAACTAAATCTCCACCTCTCCAGACACCAACTAGATGTCCTGCAATTCAATTCAGTTCTGTCAACTAACTACCCAAAATTAGTGTCAGACTCCATGCATTTAAGAGCTCAGTCCTCGAAGACCACCCTCACATCAGATACCAGTCACAACTATTTGGTTCCCAGCTAATCCATCTTGCTGTCCAGCTTGGCTACACATCAGAGGTTCCCAAAACCTCCCACCTCAGGTTCAATATTTTGCTAGGATGGCTTCAGGAGCAACTCAGGATGCAATTGGAAGAGATGGATAGGATGAAGTGTGGGAGGGGGTGGGTGCATGGAGCTTCCATGCTGCCTTGGTTTGGCTGTGTCCCCACCCAAATTTCATCTTGAATTGTATCTCCCATAAGTCCCACGTGTCATAGGAGGGACCTGATGGGAGGTAGTTGAATGATGGGGGCGGGTCTTTTCCATGCTGTTGTCGTGATAGTGAGTCTCATGAGATCTGATGGTTTTATAAATGGGAGTTCCCCTGCACAAGCCCTCTTGTCCACTGCCATGTAAGACATGCCTCTGCTTCTCCTTTGCCTTCCGCCATGATTGTGAGGCCTCCCCAGCCATGTGGAACTGTGAGTTCATTAAACCTCTTTCTTTTATAAATTACCCAGTCTCTGGTACATCTTTATTAGCAGCATGAGAACAAATTAACACACCTGTCATCTCTGGGTGAATCACCCTCCCAGCACCTCCATGTGTTCACCAACATGAATGCTCTCTGAACTCCATTATTTAGAAGGTTTTTATGGAGGTATTGTTGATTAAATCATTGGCCATTGGTGATTAGCCCAATCTCCAGCCCCTCTCCCCTCCTTAGAGGTCAGAGAGGTCAGGGAGTGGAGCTGAAAGTTCCAATCCTTGAATAGCACCTTACTCTCGGTCACCAGCCTCCATCCTGTAGTTATCCAGGCGTCTCTATCTGCCAGTCAGCACATTTGCCTACAAAAACATTCTTTTCACTCTGGAGGCTCCAGCGGGTGTAGGAGCTGTGTGCAGCAACTGGGGTCGAAAATCAAATATTTGTTTTTTTGTTGTATCATAGTTGGCAAATAAAAGGACAACCTAGGACACACACAAGCTTCTGGTGGGAGGATACATTGGTCCAAACATTTTGGAAAAATGTTTAGCACTTTCTGCTACAGCTGAACATATCTCTTTCTTGACAGCAAATACTTCTACTCTCAGATATACACTTAAGAGAAATGGGAGTGTTGCATTCACCAAACACAAATGTCCGTAATTGCCCTGTTTGAAAAAGCCCAAAACTGGAAACAATTTGAATGCCCAGCCATTGCAGAACAGATAAATAAATCGTGTTATTCTTACGCAGTACATAGTGTCAAATGCAACACTGAGAGTAATCTAATCGGTCCACAGTTACGTGCAGTGACATAGATTAATTTCACAAACATGAGATGTGCTGAAAGAAAGAAACCAGACATGAGAGTACAGTAAGTTCTGCTATGACATCGTACGTGTACCTAAAAACTACTGTGCTATGTAAGTTCATTCAATAAAAGCCACAGAGTTTATGGGGAAAATGGGATTGGGGGACAATACTCAAAAACTTTGTCAGTGACACATTTTTTAAAAAATAGGAACATAGCCTGGTGTGGTGGCTCACACCTGTAATCCCAGCACTTTGGGAGACCAAGGTGGGCAGATCCCTTGAGGTCAGGAGTTCAAGACCAGCCCGTACAGCATGGCAAAACCCCATCTCTACAAAAAATAAAAAAATAATAATAATAAAAAAATAGCCAGGCATGGTGGTATGTGCCTGTAGTCCCAGCTGCTTGGGAGGCTGAGGTAGGAGGATGGCTTGAGCCTGGGAGGCAAAGTTTACAGTGAGCCAGGATCATGCCACTGCACTCCAACCTGTGTGATAGAAACAGATCTTGTCTCAAAAAAAAAAAAAAAAAAAAAAAAAAAAAAAAAAAAAGGTAATAAAAGTGATAGCACAGTTTCACACATGTAAAATGTTTTTTTAAGTGCATACATACTACAATAAATATGGGACTTTAGAAAAGTCCTCAAGTTTGCTTGTGGGAATGTGCATTGGACGGGTAGCAGCTTGTGAGTTTTTGGGAAGCGGCAGGAGGTTGTCTGAAATCAGGAAGTTGTAACACCAGATGGGGATGAGGGTGGCTCATGACAGTTGCTGTGAACTGAGGAGCAGCTGGTAGATGTTAGAGGAACGTGCATTTTGTGTATTCCTCTGTGGCTCAGTTCAGCTGGGTGCAGTTTTCTACATTTATTTAGTGTTTCTCACAACAAAATTACACATAAGCACTTGCAAAATTTGCCTTACACTCAAATTGTTCCCTAATATATCAATCACCTGAGAACAAACTTATTTTTTTAAAAACAAGCATTATAGCAGAACTGGCTCTACATATTGGATGATTCCATTTTCTATAGGATTCGAAACCAAGTAAAGCTCTAACCATGTGTAAGAAGTCAAGATAGTGGTTATCCTTGGGTGAGGGAAGGTAATGACTGAGAAGGTGGGTGAAAGGGCTACTGAGGAATATTGTGTTTCTGGGTGCTGGGCACAGGCTGGCTTCATTTTGTGCAAATGTGATGGTGCTGTATCCTCCCCACATTGGCATTTTACTACATTTATGTTCAACTACAATAAGACATTAACTATGGATAAGTGATTACAAACAGGGTCTCACACAAAACAAAGCAGCAAAGGCAGGAGACTAGCTAGGAAGGTGTTCTGGCCTTTTGAGTAAAAGGGGCTATAATCCCAGCACTTTGGGAGGCCGAGGCAGGAGGATCACTGGAGGCCAGGAGTTTGAGACCAGACTGGACAACACAGCAAGACCCCATTTCTATAAAAATTCATTAACTAATTAAAGGGAATGGTGTCCCAGACCAGGGTGTGCAGAGGAATGGGCAGCCATAGATGGATGGAAGGCTCTCTAG